GCTTCAAAATGAAATTCTCCTTCTGGGGGAAACACCTTGCTCCCAAATACATCACTCACCACCCATTCCTGGTGTCTTCAAGGAAGATATGTTCCTTTTGCCCAGGTTTAGAGAGCCACTGTTTACATCTATGCAGATACAATTCTACCATTGGGGGTTTTCTAGTGGAGTCATTTGGAATTCACACTTAACGAATGTTGGGGTTTATCTTTTGAGCTCCTGACCCAAACTCCTTTTTCAAGCAAGATTTCTCTAAAAGCCTCTTTCCTATCTGAGGTGAAGGGGACTGGGCCTTAAGTAGAAATTCAAAACAAGGTCAAGGACTTTGTGGTAGGGATATTTTAAAAAAAAAATCCCCTCTAAGACAAACATGTGTTAATAGAATTAAAAAACATCCAACCTAGTTCCCGGGGCTGTCAGGATCTTGACATCATTTGTATTGTCACTTAAACTAGGACACAGAACCCTTCATTATTGGGAGTTTATGGTGAGATTTTGGGAGATTTGCATTGTATTTCTGTCTTGGAATTGTCAGTATGGAAAGATTTCTTTGTGGGCTGTTCATCTTGATACATACAGGCTTCCCCCCAGGGTCCACTTTTGCATTTCTTGGATTCAAGCTCTCTTTCGAGGAATGAAGCTAATGCTCTTATGACTTGGAGACTGATTTCAGGGAATGCACGGGAATGATTAGGCACTTACTTGCATCTTAATGTAGGAAACAGAACTTCCTAAGTAGTCCCCAGAGTTTGTGGCTTTCACCAGGCCACCTGGTCTTTCCTGGTTCCCTTGATTGCATTTGCTTATTACGCCTCTGCCAGGCACACGTGACCTGGGCTGGCTCAACGCTTCTGTGGAAAGGAATGGATCCAACCATTTTCATACATCAAAACTCAGATTTGGCAATTTTGCCTTGGTTTGACTACAGGATTCTATTGTTCCCAAATCTTAAAAACGTAATGGATGTCTAAGAGGACTTTTAGCAAAACCCTCATTCAAAATATAAGACCTTCTATATAAGGTCTTAATAAAACTTCTCCTCATCCTGTAGGCAAGGACTGCTGGGTTGGTATCCTTTCCTCTGAAGTAATATTCTGTTGTGGCCGGAAATGAGCAATTAGCCTCATTTGGTCACTACGAATGTTCATTTGTATTGGAGTCCACAAGCAATTTCAACAAAGCAAGTCAAGGCCCTGCCTTAGGAGATTGTCTTTAGACTCTGGGCTTTAAGACTGAACAGTGATGTGGAATTATGTTTGGGGGCTAGGAGAAAAGATCCATGCAAAGAGCAGTGCTTACCGAGGGTCCCCATGGAAGAGCAAGCTGATAAAAGAAGCTGGCAGTCAGGTGTATTCCATAACTCATTTTCAGTATTATCATGGACATGATCTCCTCTGGGAAAGCCTAGCAAAAAGCCAAACATTATTTTTTTTTCCTTAAAAATACTGAATTCTAAAGAAGATTCAGAGAGCAGTATTGATTTGGATCTCAGAAAATTTTGTTTCCTTTGTTTTACTGATTCTACAGAGTTACCAATTTAAACTGATGACACCCAGGAAAGGAAAAAAAAAAGATAAATGATTAATGACATCACAGCATTTTGTGAGTATACAACCCATTCGTCAGCTACCCACAGGGTAAAGAAATATGTACACAAAACTAAGCCCCTTAATCTTTCATTCTGGTGGCTGACGTGGACAGAAAGGTGGACACCAAAGTTTATCTGGTGTGCAAACTTTGTCCACAAGGCAGAGGACTGTGAATGTTCTGAGGAAAACACTACAGATCTTCATCCGAAGGGGAGAATTTATAATCTTAAAACATAACACTCAAAGCTAGTTTGAATTTTCAGAAGCAGTGCATTGTGTGGGGAAAGTAGTTTTATTTTCTTCTGAACTCAAATCGTCTGACCTAGTGTGTGTTCATAGTGTGTGTTCAGTACTTGGGGAGAGAGGTGTCGCGGGCACAGAAGTGGTTTCCAGATTATGTTCAGTGTTACCCCTTGGAGGTCTCTTGTCCAGCAGGGAAGGAGAAAACCATGTGATGAAGGATGGAGAGTGTGATGCCCATCTGAAAACCCCATCAACCTCTAATCAGAGTACTTGGCTACCATCATCATTCCCCTTAACTGGAAATTCTCTGTGGCTATTAAAAGCTTGGGAACTTGGGTTGAAATGACTCCTGGAAGACCTGCCAAAGAATCTGGGAAATAGTAGCCAACCATGTCTCTATGGCCCTGGCTTCTGCTATATTCAGGATGCTAACAGGGCTTGGCGGCAGAAGGGCAAAAAGAGAGGTGGCCATTTATTTAAATGTTTAAGCATGACTCCTCTGAAAGAAAATGCACAAATCAATACGTGATGGCCATGCACGCAGACTCTTAAATTGCTTAGTTTTCTAAAGTGATTGCAGATAACCTGGTCTCAGTGGTAAAGAGGAGCGAGACTGGGCTCTTGATGGGCGGTGGAGTATCCAAATTTCTTCATTTGCAGAGGCAGGAGTTGTAATTTTTGTTCATTGACGTGTAGGAAAATGTACAGTTTTGGCAGAGAGAGGGGTCCTATGCGAGAGTCAAGCTGACGATTATCCTCACTGGGTTTCACAGGTGGAGAACAGTAGGGGGAAGCCAGGGCAGCCTTTGGAAGCTGAAAACGGGTGGGTTATCTGTTGTGAGCTCTACACAAGGCAATTCTTAGGCATTGATGGAAACATCAGGTGCTTTCTACACACACACATACGGTCTGTGGCAGCCTCTGATTGTGGAACTTGAACTGCTAAAACCAAATTTAACAGGGGAGGTTTTCCAGCAGCCAATTTAGAACTCTATGTGTCAGGAAGTTACATTTGGCAACCGTTTGCTGAGTTCTTGGCCAATCTCTGTGTAAAAAACCACCTGAGGAGGTTCAATTAAGAAAATTCAGACAATTTATCTGTCATCATACCCCTGTGTTTAGTTTCTTTTTCAGTCTCAAATTTATTTTCTGAGTGGAGTGATTTCCTATATGAACTGAAATGATGAACTGATGTTTTAGTAAAATAACAGGTATTTTTTTTTTACAGGAAAAAAAGGTCTTCTCTATGTCATTAACTCCCATAATTGGAACTTATTTCCTACTGTACAGAATCATCACATTAGGTCACTTAAAGCTGAGAAAGGGGTTAGGGATGCAGTTCAAATTCTTTATTTAAATACACAGACATGTTTCTGTATATTTTGTGTAAATCCTGACAGGATGCTGGAGGTAACTTCTGTACAGAATTGAACTTTACAAGAATTTTAGTAAAATAGGCGGGCTGCCCCAGATTCCTTCGTGCTTTTGTTTCATCTTGGAAAATGCTGCTTCCGGTTATTTAATCTGGTCTTTGTAAGGAAAACACACACATACACACACGCACACGCACACACACACTCCCCCCCCTTACATTGTGTGGATTTTATAATAGACCATTTTTATTTGTATATATGCTTGTTTTCTTGCGCTGACCCCCACATTTATTTGTAAGCCATGTTCATTGTGAAGATAGCTATTGGGCAAGTGGAAACATGCCTGGTCTTTACAATCCCCTGATGCTAAGAAAAAGGTAATTCCATATGTTAGGAGGCCCTGCAATCTCTTCCTAATACCTGAAATATTATGAAAGGATATGTGAGAGGTTGTGCACCTCAATCGTTTGAAACCGATCTCTAACACTGTGTCTCTGGGAAGTGTAAAATAGCAGAATGACTACCATTTTATGGATTCCCTCATCAATGGACTCTCCCGTCTTTCTTGCTATGTTTAACGTGATGCTAGCTCTCCTTGGTGGGAATCATCTCTTCTTCATAGATGGCAATATCTTCTCTTTATGAATGAATCAGACTGAACTGTCCAGTATGGAATTCATTAGAAGTTCATAGAGTAAAGACCTCTGAAGGATGTGGGGGGCTGGGGGGGATGTTCCATGCCTATGAGGTGAATGTGAAATTGATGCTTTGGCCCTGGGAACTTTTTGCTCATAAGCTGCAGAGGCAAAGAAGTCGGGGAGTATGTACTTCATTCTCTTTTCCTATAAGGAAATGTCTGGGGCTGCTCTCTTAAGGCAAAAACATTTCTCACCATTGTCTGGCAAAGGGAAATTATAAATATCAGTTGATAACTTCAGTCAAGCTCTAGGACTGTACTTAAAAATACCTGTGTTGTGGGGAAGCATGCCTTTTGTTGTCTTTGCCATATTGGCTTTGGTGGCCACCATGCATTTTTATTTTAGCTTAGTTTTCCTGTTATCCAGGTTGTGTGCATTGTTGTTGCTGTTGTTGTTTTCTCTTTTTTTAAAATTTTTTTTTGCTGTTGTTGTTTTCTTTTGAACTACTGCTCATCATAAATGGTGATGTTATCTCAAAATCCTGACACCAAGGAAATAGCTAATGCGCAGGACTTGGGGTAGATGAAAGCATCGGTGTTGATGTAGGTTACGTTTTGGCAGAGTTAGCAGAAATATACTGAATTGAGGGGGATAATGTGGCTTTGAAGACACCATGTTTGTTTTTAACATTTGGAGAAGCCACCTGTCCTGGGTCCTTATTCGTGGGAAATTCATCCTTTCATGCAAATACCATTGGCAGGGCATACTTAACAGCCTGGATCCCTGGATAACAGTATCATATCAGTCAGTAAACAAGGAATTCTAATAATTCCCAAAGGTGGGGGTAATTTTGCCTCTTATAGATCATTCTGTGGTGAAATTTCCAATCACGGCATCTTGTAAAAACTGTAATGTTATTATTTTCCTTCTCTTTTCTGATCTAAGAGCACAGTAAAGGAAAAGTAAAGTTCTGATGTGATACAAAATAGTTCATTGACTCTGTGTTTTTGACCAAGGAAATAAATGGCTGAGATGTTGAACTAAGTGGTTGTTACATGGTTCACATGGTGACCTCAAAAGGAAAATGAAATTGGGACATTAAGTCAAACTTGGACTCCTCTGTTGATGAGGAGCTTAACTTTGATTTCCTATCTCAGGATATTCTTCAGTTTCATACTGCTGCTGAGGAGGAAGGAGCAAGCCGCAGACACTGTAACGGTCTCCGGATGTTTGTGCGTGTGTATGCAAAACTTCACACTGTGTGTGTTGTGTTCAATGTTGTGTCAATCTATGAACTGACTCAAACAACAATTTGAAGATACAGAAGACAAGAATAATGGCAAAAGACACCCATCCACCTCTTTTTGTCAGAGTGCTTGCTATGACCTTCATAGCTAGGACAAATACCATAACATATTCAGGAGCAAGGTGTCCTTGAAAGAAATGGTGTGTTGATCTCATAAGAAAATGTACAACCAATAAAAAGACATTTAAAAAAGTGCGGCGAGTCTGTATATTAATTGGGTCGTTCATGGAAATTTCTTTATTCCAGGGATGATGCTTTTAGGTATACAAGTGCTGCAGGTAAAAGCTTGGTTTGAACTATTTATCCCCTTTGTTCTCCCATTCCTGCTACCTCACTTCCAAAACATTATGGAACCTCATGGAACAAAGCATAACAGAACAACAGTGTTGTAGATGCATTAGAAGGTCATTTCATCTGTAATGAAATCTTCGTAGAGTCAATATTCCTAGGTTAGACCTGAAGGCCAATATTATATTACATTATTAAAGTCAGATGGTTTGTAGGGAGGATGGGTCCAGATGGGTTAGATGAAAATATTAAGACCCAGACTTTTTTGGCTCTTAACGGTTCCTGCTGAACTCCTAGGCCAACCAATCATTTGAATTTTTTCTTGTCTTCTATACAATATATGTAATACTAGGATATTTGCTCTACATCATCAGGCAGTGCTATGACACAGACACGTTCTGGGAAAGAAAATGTTATTTCAGGTATATATGGTTGGGTTGGTAGGGTTCTCTGATTTCTCCTATCAACCAAGTGTTTATAACTATTTGACTTGCATCTGCCTTAATCCAGTTTAGAGAATGGCTAGACCTTAGTGTTACCAGATTGAATGCATGACCAGTTACACCCAGAGGCTCACCTTCACTGCTGTCTTATTGTTGAAACCGGTTGATGTTGCTTGAGTCAGGAACAGACTCTTTTTAGAGCCCCTAATGTTTCACCTTGGATGGACATCCTTTCCGGGGCTAGAATCTCAAGTGGAGGGTTCTCTCGACTTCTGCATATGTTGTTCATGTCACTTTCCAACACCAATGGACTCTCTCATACTGATTGTGAAGTCCTGCCCGTGTGCTATCTTAAGATTGCTGTAATCCTTCATCTTTCTTAAATGGTAGGCCTTCCTGTCATTGGGAATTTTGGTTTAAGTTCCTATAAGGGGTGAGGGTATGTGGAGGGGGAAGGCATAAACAAGCACAGTATTCTCAAGCCTCATATATGAAAGCATTTCATATGGTCCTCTGCAGCTATTCCTTATTTTCAAACTTTAAAATATCATCAGATCTTAAAGTTCTTTTCCTCTTGATGGCTTAGCGCCTTCTTTTGCACACTTCTCGTGTTGACTGACACTTATTTGCCCATCAAAATGAGTCCCTGTTTACTCAAGATTTTGAAGGAAACCAAATTAAAGTGGAACATGGGGAAGGTTTTTGTGGTGTTCCAAAAAACAAAAGCTTTTTCTGGTGTTCCTTGGTTATTTGGTTTTCTATGATAATATAGCACAGCCCAAAACTTAGTAGCTTCAGACAACAGCTTGAAACTATTTCTCCCAGTCCTGTGGGTTGGCTGGGCTTAGCTGCATGGTTCTGGCTTGTCATCTCTTATGCATTTGTAGTCAGGTAGCTGGAACAAGGGCTATTGGAAGTGTCTTCATGCCCCCTGTCTGGTGCCTGGGCTGGGGTGGCTGGACTGGGCTGGATCAGGGACTAATGAGGCATCTCTCCATCAGGCGGCCTAGGTGTCTACCATGGGCTCTTCACAGCTTGGCAACTGAGTACTTAGAATCTTTCCAGGGCAATTGGATTTCCCCTGAATGAATGATCTGAAAGCCCCAGGACGAATAGTGGACTGTGTTCCACGGTGTGGGCATCTTTGAAGACTAGCTACGTGCTTGGTCAGTCCGATACAGTTAGAATATACTTGTGAACTTTAAAAATGGATCTTATTCCTTCTTTCCTAAATTGGTGGTCCAGAGAGGTAATAGAATAAATGTACTAAAGTTAATGATGGAATCAGTTTCCATTCATTTATTATCCAGTTTTGTCAAGGCAAGTGCATTGGTCAAGATGATGTTATCCTGTAGAGGATGAATTAGCCATCTCTGCCTGAAAGTTTGAAGCCATAATTGGAATGAGAATAACACAGAGAAAACTCAGCATTGACATTTGATGGCATACAGAACCGTTAGTACTTCTCCACCACCCCAGATGTCAGGCCTCATAAATACTTGCGGAGTAGCTGTTTTCTCCTCAAATGGAAATAGCTTTGTTTTTTTTTTTTATTTTAAAAATAACTCATTATGAGAAAACTTAGAGAATACATGCAGGAAAATAAACATCATCTACAATTCCAAGTTAATTGTTCATGTGTTCTTGAAAATATATTGTTCTATATTTTCATAGCACACACACACAGAGAAGTACAAAATGTTAATGGGATTATGCTATTGTTTCCTGCCTTGCTTTCCAAATTATATCCCAGGCATCTTTATCATGTCGATTAATGCAGATGGCATCACTATTTTTGAGGTCTGCCTAATATTCCAAAAAAATCACATATATATATATTTAACTGCTTCCCCATTGACGGAAATTTTAATTATTCCTTTTTGATTGTTTTGATAAATACCCTTATTCCTACATATTCATGCATGAGTGTGATTGTCTTGGGGGCGTTTTGAAGAGCTAATGGACCTCAAACATTTTCCACAGGGCTGAACATCAGCAATGGTTTCACTTAAACTTGTCTCCTGGTGCTCACTCTCTCCAGCTCCAGCCATAAACTAAGAGATCAGACCTCTCTGGCAGTGAACCCAAATTGAGAATTTTCAGTACAGGGACCTGCCCACACAGTGGTGCCCTGATGATCCCAAAGGTATATTTCTTGAGTAAATTGGAGCATAAGGAATGCTTTTCAGGAATATACACAGAGGGGGAAAAAAATATCAGGAAGAAGTGCTCGGAGGAAAAATAGAGTATAGGAACTGGGAAATGGAATCTGCCTCTGAGAAGCAAAAGATTGCACTTTTTTTTTCTTAACTTCTTGCTGTGTTGGTATAATGATTACAGAATGACTACATGAGGCAAGAGCAAAATATCCAGTTGGTTTAGTGGGCATTCTACCCATTTATGACCATGTCAGTCTTAATGAAGCTAGAGCTGTAACTCTGCCAACAAAACTCAGCATCAACCACTCCACAGGCATTAGCTATTAAAACCCTTTTCAGGTATGATCTGGCTATATTGGTTTTGTGGACCTCTGCAGACAAATTCTTTTTTTTTTTTAATTTTTATGATAGTCACACACACAGAGAGAGAGAGAGAGAGACAGAGAGAGAGGCAGAGACATAGGCAGAGGGAGAAGCAGGCTCCATGCACCGGGAGCCCGATGTGGGATTCGATCCGGGGTCTCCAGGATCACGCCCTGGGCCAAAGGCAGGCGCTAAACTGCTGCGCCACCCAGGGATCCCTCTGCGGACAAATTCTATCCAGGACTTTGTCTTCCGTGTTCTCGTTCTTCGATGCTATAGCAGCGGTGCTACCCCCCAGGAGCTGGCTAACAACGCAGAGAAGAGCCTGGAGTGCAACACTACCCCCAGGTGACTCACATTCACATGATAGAGAAGTGGCCATCTGTCTATGTCACCCAATTTTGGAGTTTCAATGGTCAGACCTCAGATGTAATTCTTTCAACATTAACTCCATGTGATAGACAAAAGATGCCTCTGGAAGTGATAATCAGATTTATATAGTAGAAAGTCTATATTGGATGGAGGACTATATGTGTTCAGGTATATTGAATATATATTTATTCATTAAATATATATTATTTATGTCAGGTGTATTAGTATATATTTAATATATACATATTCTGATGTTTGGTTCAATACAATTTCCTTTCAGACTTCATTGCAAGATTATCGAAGACCAGTCTCCTAAAGGAAAAAAAAAATGACTCTTACACTTGAATACCTTACATCTGTAAAGTGTCTTAGAGATTCCAAATGGAATGCTGCTTCAGGGATGCAGAACATTGTGTAGACTTTGTAGTGATGGAGCTTAGGAGGTAGTTACTGTAAAGCTTAGAGTATGACCTAGTGCTTCCACTGTTTCCAAATTCAGTGACTTCCTGGTATTATCTGGGCCATGAGGCACCTCACCTTGGGTTTCCTTGCCCTGCCAGTCCAGCCAGAAACCTCTTTGGCAAGTGGTGGCTCTCTGGCCTGTAAGGAAGGACATGAGGCAGACTCAGAACTTAATGCTACTTGCCTAAGAATGCTCAGCTTGGTTAAGAGCAATCAGCTTTCCCCTGATCTGGAGTGACCCCATGGACTGGGAGGCAAAGAGCTGTTCTTAGACAAGAACTTGCTAAACCACTTGACCTTTTCAACAGCTGCAGAACTGTTTATCGAGAGCATGCCATCTCTCTTGGCTCCTCCAATTTGTCAGCCAGGAAAGTCAAGCCAGTGACATTGTGTGCTTTAGAAAACTTCTGAGCAATTCACAACTTCCACCATAAAGTGGCTAAATTGGTCTCACTAGTCAGATAGTGATCTTTGGATGGGCCACCCGCTCCTTGAGCTGGTTGGCTTTTGGGACTCGTTTGCTGGAATCAAATGAGTCACTGCTGGAGATAAACATAAATACCGATATGCCAAAGCCTCCAATTCCCTAAACTATAGCTCATAAGGAAGAATAGATTGGATTTGTTTCAAGCCACAAACCTAGGGCAAATGGCAATGTCTGCCAATAGCAAAGAACACGAATTCTGTTCATTATGTAAGCAATTTCTCGAGAAATTAAGGAGCCAGTGAGTTTTAATTTAGCTTATCTGAAAATTATGTTTGTGTACAAAAATATCTATGATTCATGACATACTTTTGCAGGATAATGTGAGTTGAAATATGATTTGATAATGCTAATAAAATGGGTGAGGAATTATTTTTAAGTATTGGAAGGGAGCATGAGACGGAGCTTGAGTCGGTATGGAAAGTAGGAAGATGGATCCAGTCCAGAGCCACATAGGCTGTTTGAAATCCTGGCTGCACCATGTGTGACCTTGGACACATGTCTTCAACTCTCTGTCGCTCGATTTATTCCTTCTTCAAATGGAAATAATAACAGGACCTACTTTATTTTTTTTAAGGATTTATTTATTTATTTGAGAGAGAGAAAGAG